AAAGAAACCCTGTGCCCTTAGCTACTGGCTGATGTGTAGACATGGCCCAAAGCCTTATGGTCCATGTGCAGTGGTTGGGGAAGGTGGCTGGATCATGGAGGTGTGGTGCTGGGTTCAAGTGTGTGGCTGTGGATTAAAGGTGTGTGATTACCTGATTAGTGCACCTGTTGGTTTAGCATGGTTCTGGGTGTGAATGAAGGAAAGACCCTCCCTGGGTGTGGGTGGGAGCAGCCTCAGGCTTGCAGCCTGGATGGAATCTAAAGGCCAAGGGAGGCTGCTGCCTGCCGCCTTCTGCCTGCCACACCATGAACTGTTCCTCCTCCGTGTTGCTCCTCTGCCATGTAACCCTGCCTTGGAGCCAACTGACCACGGACTGAAACCCCTACACACCACGAGATAAAATAAACTTTTCCTCCTCTAATGTGTGGCTGTGGAGTATTTTGCACAGCAATGAGGAAGTAACTAAGACACTCAACACAGCTCCTAGCCCCAATTCCTAGTAAGCTCCTGAAATATGTTCTCTCTGTGGATTTTCTTAATCTTAACATTTTAAATAAATGGAATCATATATCATTTCTTAAGATTTTTTTTCAGTTATCACAATGCTTACATGGTTAATCCATATATAGCTCATTCAGAACTACTTTCCTTGTCCTGATCACATGTTTTTCTCCATCACCAGTTCATGGAGTGTTGGGTTATTGCGACTTTTAGATTTCTATCACTTATACTGCTATAAACACCATGATCAAATTATTGTGTGGACATAAATGTTCATTTCTCTTGGGTATACTTAGCATTGATATTGCTGGATCAGATGGGGACTGCTAAGTTTAACATTTCTTTCAGAAATTTCAGGTTGTTTTCCAGAATGGCTAAACTGTTGTACACTTCCAGAACCAGGAAATAAAGAGTTCAGCTTTTCCACATCTCAGAAACACTTGTTATTATCTGATCTCTTTTTATTGTAGCACACTGCCAATGTGATGCATTATGGCTTTGACTTGTGTTCCCTGGTGGCTAATAGTGTTTAATGTCTTTTCAAATTTTTTTGACCATTATTGTATCTTTGAGAAGATGGCTGTCCAGATGCTTTGCTTGTTTTTAAATGGGTGATTTGTCCCCATTATTGACTATGTGAGTTTTTTATATGTTGTCTCTATAAGTCCTTATCAAATATTTGATTTGCAAAGAATTTTTCTTGTTGTGAAAGTTGTCCTTTAATGCTCTTCATAGTTTCCTTTGAAGCAGAAGCTTTTAATTTTGATGGAATTCATTTTATCTATTTGTTTTCTTTTTGTGATTGTGATGTCATAGCAAAACAGTTGCTAAGCAGGGTTTAGTGCCACCTGCCTCTAATCCTAGCTACTAGAGAGGATGAAGCAAGAGAATCACAAGTTTTAGATCATCCTGGGCAATTTTGCATTGCCCTGTGTCAAGATAAAATTAAGAAGGGCTGGTGACATAGCTCGTGGAAGTGCACTTGCTTTGCATGCCTGAGGCCCTGGCTTCAATCCCTAGGACCATAGGAAGAAAAAAATCCATCACTAGACAGCAGGTCATGAAGGTCTAGAGCAATAGTATTAGGCATGTGAGGCAAATGTCTACCACTAAGCTCCCTCTGAATCCGTGGATCTATGTCTTCTTCTAAAAGCTTTTACGGATTTAGTTCCTATTTCTAGGTCTCTGATCCATCTGAACTTCTGTGTTTTCCTGTGCTGTGCTGTGTTGTGTTGTGTTTCTCACTGTATTTACAGTCAGGGTCTCACTGTGTAGGCCAGGAACTCCGCGCCCCCCCTGAGTCTCCCCAGTGCAGGGATTAAAGCCATGTCACAGGCACCACACCTTGCTACTCACATGATATTTTCTCCCTGTGGAAGAATGGTGGAAGGATGGTAGGGGGAGAGCCTAGCTGACTCCCTTTTGCCCCTTAGAACCTTCATGATCTAATTACCCATGTAGGCTCAGGGTTACATAAGGGGAAGTTCCAGCATGAGTTTTGGGGGCACAGAAATATTCAAATTTTCTATTCAAAACTCCGTGTATGTGTTTAGTTTTGTGATGTTTTGTTGTGTTCTGCAGTATGGGGCACTGAAGCCAGGACCTCTGCACAGGCAGACATCCCCAGCGGCTGCCTTCCCCCACTTCAGGACAGAGTCTTGTTAAATTGCCCCATCTGGGCTCAAACTTGCAGCCCTCCTGAATCAGCTTCCCTAGTTCTGGGATTCCCAGTGTGCATCACAGAGCTGAATTTCAGAATTGTCTTTATTTATAACCACATCACATGCCACGGTTACAATTGCTTTGTAGTAATTTTGAAGTGGAAATTGTGAGTTCTGCAATATAACTTTTGACAGGAGGCAGAATCCCAGACAATGATCAGAAGAAAAATAAAGCAAGAAAGAGACTGTCCTTACTCAAGATGCTAAAGTAAAATCTAAGTAAAGGTCACTGTGGAGCAGAGAACATAGCTGAGTTCCCTAAGGGCCTGCCTGGCAAGCACAAGGTTGTGATTTTGATTCCCAGTACATCACCCACAAAATGCTACAAAGGTCATTGTACTTAGAAAATATTTCATGTATCCCATAATGCATCCTCGGGAAAATAACCACTGGTTATGTTCTCATGTAAACTCTGATCATGAAGTCCACTAGAGGACTCTGTCCTGAACACTGGTCACCAGCATGTGGTGCTGCTGGGACGCAGTGGCTCCTTTAGTACCAGAGAAAAGAAGCTGGGTCACTGAGGGCGTTCCCTGGGAGAGACTGGGGGACCCTGGCCTCTTCCTGTTTCTCCCTTTTGCTTCTTGGGCACCATCAGGAAATCCTCAATTTTCTTTTCCTAGAGAAATTGACAGGCCTGACCTCCAGCCTCCCTCATCCTACATCCAAGCTGTGTGATCTGCACAAATTGCCCTCTCAAGGCTTCAGCCTTCTCCTCTACCCACGAGAATGAGTCGACCTCCTTCACAGAGGGGTCACAAGGATGAAATAAAGATGTGATCTCATCAGGAGCTAGTGTCTCTTGTCTTCCCTGGGACCATCCTTCTTAGAGTGGAACCGTGTCTGTCAGTGCTCTGGGGAATTAGAAGCAAAAGCAAAAACAGAGACGGAAAGCTCATGAATGAAGCGGGGTGAGGCGTTGCACACTTACAATTCCAGGTACGCCGGTGGCTGAGGCAGGAGGATTGCAAGTACAGGGCAAGACTACACAACTTAGAAAACTCTGTCTTAAATCAAAACAAAAAAATTAAAAATGCTGGGGTGCAGCTCAGTGGCGGTGCACTTGCCGGGCTTGGATGAGGGCCTGGGTTCCACACCAGGACCACACTCAGTCAGTCACCCCTCAGCCACTCATAGATGAGAAGCTCCATGGTCTCCTTGCACAGAAACTTTTTAAAAATGTTATCAGAATTGTATGGAACACATGCTAGAGATCTGTGGTTATGTGCAAAGAGTGTGGAAGTTAAAGTCGTCCTGGGAGAGAAGATGACCTGAAACTGCATCGTGTGCAGCGCTCATGTTTAAGGACCAGGAAGGGAAAGACACTGGAGCCCAGAAGAAGTGCTGCTCCTCCCAGGGACAGCTTTGTCCATGTGTTCATGCGCTGTTAATTAAAATCTCAGGGGGCTTCCTCCTTCAACATCGTCCTATAGAAAACGTGGTTAATGACCTGACCGCCCCCTACACCCCGTCATCTGGTATCTTAGGCCATGGTTATGGAAGTCATTTCTGAAGGGTAAAGAGCGAGGGGCCATGGAGGCCTGGGCTGGGTCAGTCATCAGTTGAATCCAAGTGCAGGAAACAGCAAGCCTCATCCACTTCCTATGAGAAGCACAAGTTGTGGAGCCTGTGATGCTGGTGATGGGCCTGCTGACAGTTAGGTCCACCTCATGGGGACAAAGACTCAGCCCACATCTCTCATGGACACAATTATCTCTAGACCTAGGCCTTCTCTCCTTGTGAATGACCTCAGGGATCAGCTGTGGGCTTTGAAGTTGCTCTGGAAAGGTGCACATTTCTACCTCTCTCCCCCAGGGGTTTTCCCCACATGGTCTTTATGCTTCTCTGTTCACTCTGACCCTCCAAATACATCAGCTAGCTGCACAAGGTGTTTCCTCCTGTCCCCTTAGCTCAATGGCCAGTCAGACACAGGACAGCAATTACTATTCTGAAGACTGGTGCCTCTTCCTAAGACAGGCTAACCCTTCAAGAAAGGCCAGGGATTTAGCTCTGTGGCACAAGCACCTTCCTGGCAAGTGTGAAGATGTGAGTTTAATCCTCGATATGAAAAAAAAGAAGAAAATGAGATGTTTTAAAGAATAACTGTGCGCAATATCTCACTACATATATATTTTAAATTTCGCTAAGATGACATATTGTACATATTTTTGCTTCCTGCTTTACTGATTTAACATTGTGGTCTGCATTTTTTTTGTATGAAGTACAAGCATCTTGTTTATCATTTGTGTAATTGACCATTTCATATTAAAATTTTCTTTAAGGAATCCTATCTCCAACGCAGTGGTTCTTATTGCACATGAGAAAACTTAACGTGGCTGGGTCGGAGCTCGGGGGGTATAACACTTGCTTAGCAGGCCTGAGGCTCTGGGCTCCACATAAGCAGCACAAAAATAAAAGTAAAAACTATTATATAAGAAGGTCACAAATGATAATTTAGTTTTAAATTTGTTTAAATAAATACTACTTGTTAGAATAGGAAAAAATGATCTTTAGCTAGGGTTTTTTATTGTTATTAATTTTTGAGACAGGGTCTTGCTGTGTAGCTCAGGATAATCTGAACTCAAAGTCATCCTTTTGCCTCAACTTCTCAAGAGCTGGCATTGTAGATGTGCACCACCACACCAGCTTCTAGCCAGGTCTTGAAAAGCACAGTCTTTTTTTATCCTCACTTGGTTTTGTGTGTGTGTGTGAGTGTGTGTGTGTGTGTGTGTGTGTCTGTGTGTGTGTGTTAGTGGGAATTAAAACTAGGACCTTGTGCATGCTAGGTAAGCACACTGTCACTGAGCTCTATCCCCAAAAGCACAATCTCATTCTCAAGCTTCACAACATCTACCAAACAAGGGTTATTTGAAGGGTGTTACCCCACCTATTCTGAGATGTCTTTTGTTTTATTTTTTGAGAGAGGAACTCACTGTGTAGACCAGGTTAGCCTCAAATTTGTGATCCTCCTGACTCAGCCTCTCAAGCCCAGGAATCACAGATGCAAGTCACACTTCCCTTATCATTTTGAAGTACTCTTAAATCCTCTGCCCAACTCAGAGCGGCGTGCCAGGGCCCATGATGTTCTCTGGTCACCACGGCTCATTCGAGCCTTGTGGCCCTATTATAACAAGTACTTGGACAGAGGCTGCCTTTGCCAAAAGCACTGACTCTTCACCTGGTCTACAGATGCCTGGCAGGTAACTAAACAGAGATTACATGCAAGTATGTCTGCCTTCATTTTGTATCTACTTCCTTTCTGCCTTGAGCCTTGAACAAAGCCTGCAATCCTTCTTCTTCAAAGCTGAAAGCATCAAGTTAAGAACTAAGGGATTTCCAACATTTGCAGGGACATCATCGTGAATAGATTGTCAACTGCTAGCTTTTGCAGTGTCCTGCTATGGACCAAGTAGTGTCTAAGATTTCTGGCACTACCCTATTCTTAATGGAACACACGCCATCTTGCTTCTCTGATGTGTCTTTTTCTCTGACAGGTCATTCTGTCTTCTAGTCATCCTGGAACAATGGGTCTCATCAGTGCCCCTGAAGCCATGCTGAAAAATTCCTTTCCTCACCATTGCTTCTTTCAGAATGAATAACTGGACCTGGCATGTGGAGATACAGAGCACTACTCAGCCCCCTGCAGCCTACGACTCCAGTAATACAAGAAGCAGTGCTAGAAATTTCCATCCAGTGAAACTGACCATCTTGTCTCCACAAGGACAATGTCAAGGTCATTTCTATGGGCTCACACAGTGTTTCTTCTTAGCAGAATCTCTTGTGTTCTGCTGGATAAATCTGCATCTGGTTTGGCTTCTGAGACTATGTGGTCTGCCTTGTCTCATGGGTACTGGGAGTTCATTGCAGAGTGAACTCGCTTTATCCCCCAGCTTCTGAAAGCTTCTAGCCACATTTGTGTCTCTCCTTTAGGGAGGAGTGGAGTCAAATGATCCCTATTTTTGGCCTAATTCCTTTCCTAACATTCTGTCTGTCCACCATTGTATTCTTGCCCTACAGAATATTTGGAATTATCTTGTGTTTTACACAGACTGCCTTAAACCTTTCATAGACGAATACAGTGACCTTGGAGGTACTATGCACCCTTGAGAAACTGACGCATCTGACGTACACTGTATCATCTTGAACATGCTTGATTCTGGCTGATCTTGAAAGCTAAGCAGGGTTTGGCCACTTATCTGCCCTCTACCTCAGTTTCCTCCTCTGTAAAAAGGGGATAGCAATGTCCTCCTCAGTGATGAAGACAGCAAAGCACATGCAATGATCTAGACTTGAGGCTAGGTCGCAGGTAGGATAATACAACCATTTCAAAGTAAGAAAGCATTGCAAACACTCTCCTGTTATTGTTTTCTCAGTGAATCACTGGGTCAAAGAGTATGAATGTTTCAAAAGATGGGTGCTGCTTTCCAAGTGAAAGTGAGCTCCAGCTTTAGCTGCCTTTGCCAAAGTCAAATGCTCCTACTGTAAAACTTCCTTGCTAATTTGACAGGTGGAAAAGTAATGTCACCTTTTTGTCATCTGAATATTCATTCTGTTTGTAACTCATGAAACTGAAACCTTTGCCCAAGACTACTATATTTATTTTATTATTTATATAGCTTGTCTTTCTCTCCATATCTTGCAGTATTTCTGTTGAGGTCTTTGTGTTTTCCTTAAATGTTTAGACTAAGATGAGGGACTCTTCTTTTAAAGTATATTTTTTTGAGATGGGGTCTGACTATGTCACCCATGCTGGCCTTGAACTCCTGATCTCCTTGCTGGGATGAGAGATCTGAGTTCCCAGCAAGGGACCTTCATTTTTTCTGCCGCTAGTCCCCTGCTGAGAAAAGGCAGGGTACAAGGGTTTGAAAGGAGTATTAGTCACAGTGTTGGGTGGAAAAGAGTGACAAAAGACACACAAATGACCATATCAGCATGTGGTCCTGCCCCAGTGAGCTTCCCTCTTACTAAAGGAGGAGAGAGGCACAGTTCCAAAGCAAAACACACTAAGCACAGTTAACACAATCTCTGTGGAAACTTGAGCTCTCCTCTTGACCTAAATTTTGAGATTATCAGTTCTAAAAATGTAGTTAATCTTTAATTGAAATAGAACTCCTTGAATTACAAAGTAATTTTAAGATCATACTCAAACACTTCTCAGCCGCAAAGACTTTGCAGAAGAGGTAATTAGTTTGGTAGTCATGGAAACCTAGCTAATGACATGACTACAATCCAGCTTGCACAGGCAATTTGTAGTATAGTAGAAGTCTAGTTTGTTTACTAAAATTATTTTTGAATGCTTTCTCTTATGGCTTGTAGAGGGAAGTTAAAAGCTTTGGCACTGTGTTATATAACAGCTCAGTATCTTGGGCTTTCTTTATTGATGTTTTAGCTTCCTTTATTCTTTTAAAACAATTTAGCAAATTGTTTTAAAGTCATGCCATAATACTTCTTTAGTTTCTCCTGATAAAGTCTCTGGTACACTAGCCTATTTTTAGGATAATAACAAGTCACTCAAAGGTACACTCTCCATGGTTCCGTATACAAACCAGAATAATAGCTACACAAAGCTCACATTCAATTTAATGAGCAGCTAGAGTTTGCACAACTCAGAGAAGAACCTAGTTACAAGACCTTGGTAAGCAGATTTCATTCTGTTGTCGTCCTTTTTCCAATTTTTTTAATAACATGTCTTGAATGCTATCTGTTAGACCTTATTTTAAACTTTTTATATATGTTAACTATTTAGTCCCAATAACAATCTAGGAGATTTAGGGTAATAATAATAATAATATTCTTGTTTTACAGATGGAGAAACAAAGGCATGAGGAGCTTATCATTTCCCCAAGTTGAAACGATGCTCATCAGCTATTAATGTAACCTTCTTTCCTATGTCATGTACTCCTTCGACCCAATTCCTTCTGCATCCTCTTCCATCCCGATGAGTAACCGTGAAGTACAGGTCATGTTCTCTACTGAGACGCTGCAATGAACAAAGCATTGGACTGGGAGCACAGGAAGGATTCTGTTGCCAGTGGCCATGGTAAAATCACAACCCCGTTGGCTTCAGTTTTATCCGCAAGTAAGAATGCCAGTGATTCCTACTTGAACCCGTAGGCTAGACATAAAAGTCAAATGTGAAGGTAGAAAGGGAAGGTCCCTGGAAGGTCATATATTTTGAGTAACCCCAGTGACTCTTTATATCTGTGCTGCTGGCAATTGTGTGGCTTTGCTGAGCAGTGTAAAAGTGGGTTGTACATGTGGACGTGCTCCAGCTCTGAGCTACGAGCTGTCCTTCCATGTGTCACGCATTGCTTTTAACACTCTCCAAGGTCCCCAGGTGGCTCCTGCCCAGCCTGCTCATGAGGCCTGCTAGGGCTCCTGATTCCATCCACAATCACAGCCCAGAGACGGAAGCACCCATAGGGTGTGGCTGTCTGCACCCATGGCTGTGTGGAGGGTGAGAAAGATCACCCAGAGATGGGCCTTTGTTCAGTCACCAAGAGGACCCAAAGCTAAGAGAGTTTCACAGAAACAGCCAAAGGTCAGACCTCTGAAGCTATTTATCCATAACTCAAGGCCATGAGAACAAAGATGCAGAAGAACAACATTGCCACATAATGTACAGGAGTTCTGGTCAGGGGACAGAGCCAGAGTGGGATGGTTGGTTAAGTGACACGAGCCAACATAGTTTAGGCAATCTTGGGGACAGAGCAAACACAATGGCCAAGGCAAACATCTCAGAAGAAACTGCTTTTAATTCTGCTGACTGTCATTGGGCAGATTCTGCTCTCAACCCTAACCATGCATCCAAAAATCCTGGGAACTGTTGTTCCTAGAATCCATCCTTATCACACTCCAATTCAGTTACAGTGCTGTACCAGTCACAAACTTATTCTTTCCATGATTCAGGTCAAAAATGAACTTGGATGAGAACTGAATCAGTGGTCCGAATAAGGCCAACACTAAACCTAACCACTGAATTTGATTTGTTTCTCATTCAGCTCGGTTTGTGACCAGAATTGTGGAAATAATTAAGTTCATGAACCATGATATCACTGGATCACAACCTGTGTCCCCAAAGTGAGTGGCTCCACTGCAGCCCAAGCCATGCCCTGGTGAGCTCAGTTAGGAGATAATGGAAAGTTCCCGTGGACTGGAGGCATCGTCTGGAGTTGAGCAGCCTGAGATATTCCTCACACACTGATCAGATCTGGCTTTCCCTCTTGCAGTGATTGAAGATTAACTATTTTGGTCGTCACTCTGGGAAAAGCTTTGCCTGCCTTCAGTGAGACCAAGACAACAGAGAGACCTCAGTAAAAAGAAGAGAGACCAGAACGGTTTCCAAAGCAGGCCCCCAGCTCATGCCACAAGGAAAGAAGGAAGCCACATTGAGGCATAAGCACTACGGAACAAGCCAAATGGATGCTTTGACAGTCTTTTGTAATTTTTTGTACATGTCTTCAGACATCACCCTTGGAGAGACTCTTCAAAGAAAATTCACAATGGACATTTAAGGAATCGTGGGACAGGACAGAAAATGGCAAGGGCCTAAGGGCAAGCCTTTCAGAATGAGTAGGGATAAGAAGACAGGACACACAGAACCCCAAGAAAGATAGATGGGAGCACGCAGCTAAGTGGGAGATGGAGGACAAAACTCCTATCATAAGACTCCCAATGGATTCCTAAAAACACATTTTCACCTCAGGACCAGAAATTCTATTAGTTATCTCCAAGACAAAAGTAAAGAAATGTCAGCTCTCTTTGCTCACAGGTAGAATTCTAGTGAGATGAGAAAAGGACAGAGAAAATGTGGTACAGATTGTGATGGAGCACTTTCCAGCCACGAAGAAGGATGAGCTTGAGTCCTGGGTAGGCAGGGGATGCGCCTTGAAACCGCAATGGGAAGGGAAACAGATCAGACTCAGAAGAATGAATATCGCTTGGTTTCCTTATATGAGAAACACAAAGTATAACTAAATTAGAGGCAAACAAAATAAATGTGATATGAAACAGCGAGACACTGAAGAGATGGGGTAGGGGGCTGCGTGAGGAGGGAAAGGGAAGTGAAAAGGATCCAGAAGCACTGTGCACTCAGCTCCGTGATGAGTTGGTTACACACCATGAAGGTGCGCTCACAAGACAAGCAACCGTGAAGAGTTCTGATAGGGCAAACAGGAAGGGCAGCACAGGAAAGACAGGCGTGCGGTGTCTGTGTGGGTTCATAGAGGGCGCTGGCTGGGACAAGTCACTTGCTACACACTCCACAGGTGGCCGAGGACAGACAAGGGCAGAGGAGCCCTCTGAGCTGCTTCCTTTGCGAGGCCCAGGGTCTGGGCAGAGAAGGAGCCCTGGGAAGAACAAAGGAGGGGGCAGAAGAAACCCAGTCACCAGGAAGGTCTCCGTGGGAAGCTCCACTCTGGGCTCCTCCTCTGCAGAGAGTGCTCTCTCAGCAATCCTTCAGACCCACACGCAGCCTTGTCCCGGGACACGGCACCAGGCCCCCCTGCACATCCTCAGCTGCATCTGTGCAAGTTGACTTCGGGCTGCTCGGTGCTCTGCTGCACCTTTCCAGATGGATGCTGACAAATGCAGTTGTAGACAGAGTGACACTTGACACCAGTGGGAATGAATCCTCTGTGCTCGGCCAATGCACTTCCCAAGATCTGTCGATCCAATCATGGAGGAGACACAGGCTCCCATCAGGAAAACCTGGGCAAGATGCTTGGATTTCCTTTGAAAGAGATGAAAGAGAAAAACCCAGGTCAGGGAAACTCATGGCCTCACAGCTGAAAATGGAACCATGGCCACCACTTGTCCTAGGAAACATCACAAGGGTGAAGGTGGAAGGGGGTAAGGAGGAAGCCCTGTATCATCCCACTAACAGCATACAGTGAGAAACATGTTTAAACATTGAAGGGGAAATGAGAAGAAAACATGGGGGAGGCTCCCACAGGGTTGGGTCCACGCCATGGGGAGCCACGGGCTGCAGAGTCCATGCAGGGGCACCCGTGTGGTGGCTCCCTGTTCACGGTGTCACAGGCTGCCCGGTTGGTATAGAGCTGGCTTCTGTGCTTCCCTGTCTCCTGGCTGCTCCCACTGGGAAGGCTCACCTGGGCTGCAACACCGAATGGTCTTGCACTCAGACCTCAGCCCCCGAGGAGTGATACTGGTAGGCAAGGGCTGAGCACACTGTGGTTTCCCAGGCCCTGTGCAGGCTCTAACTGGGCCTGCTGCTCCACACCACCAGCGCCCTGCTCCCCCTCTTGCTGCGAGCCCAGGTGCCCTCCACACCGCCGTCCTCCTGTGTGAGGGCCATGCTGTTCTCAGGCCTCCTAACCAGTTCACCCTAGTGGTGGACACCTGTGTGAGGTGGATGACGCTCTGAGGTTCTGGGCACCTGCCACAACCTCCAAGGTTTCTTGGGGGCCCGAATTCTGGCTCTAGTCCTTCTAGAGTTGCTGTGGTCACATCATGGTATAGTAAACTGAAGAGGCAGGATTTGAACTCGGGTCTTGTGCATAGCTGCAGGAAGGCAGCAGAGAAAGAACAGGGGCAGGAAGCAGCTGCGGCTGCCGCTGAGAGCAGGCTGTGGCCCTCTGTGCCTCTTCAGAGCTGCATGTTTTTCCTTTTATGTAAATATAGCAAGGGAAGTTGGTAGGCCTCAGAGCAGGAGTTTCTGTCTGCTCTTAGAGCCTCCCTAGAATGTTCTGAGGCAGGAGCTGAGGAGCAAGCTCCTGGAGAGCCCTGGAGAGGCTCAGGAATTCCAGCTGAAGGGCAGGCATGCTAGGCTGGGTCCTGCATCGGGACAGGCGGGAAATGTATGATGAACTGCTGGCTGCACCTCTGTGAGGCCCCTATCCGGCCAAGCAGCACCCACTCTGGGTGGGAGGGAGTCACTAGGAGGGGAACTGAACCCAAGAAGCCCTGGGGCATGGTGGGAATGGAGAAGGTGGGAATGAAGGCCAGACCATGAGCAAGGTCGAGGGTAAGAGCACAGGTAACGCTGGGGTCCTACCATAACACAATAGGCTGTCCCCCAAGATGGCCCTAGAGAAACCATTCCCTACAAGTGCTCCTCCTGTAGCAGAGGGAACCATGCCCTGAAGTCGCATGCGCCATTGCTGTGTTCTAAACAGACGGCAAAATAGGGTGAGTGCCCGAGTGTTGTGCCTATGGACCAGCAGATCCATCCCCTGCATCCCTCCCGCACTGCCCCTCACCCTGCAGGACATCTGGTTCTCATGCTCTTTATGTGATAGTGAGGAGATGCAAGGAAGTACTTATACCCACCAGACACGCATGCGCACGCGCACGAGCACACGCACACGCACACATACCCACCCACATACAAAGGTACACACAGGTGTTTTGAGGGAACTACAGTTTCTTTCAAAACTCCTCTCTGGTAGGAAACACACTGTCCTGTCTTAATCATTCCCTTGCTTTACTTTACAGTTTTATGAGATGTTTGTATTGGTTTCGTATGCTTGAGGATTTTACATAAATGGAATCATAGAGTTTATTCTTCCATGACTTTTTTTTACAGTTAATATTATGTTTCTGAGATGTATCTTAAGTGTTGCCTATATCTGTGGGGAGTTCCTTTTCTCTGCTGCATAGTGTCCTACTGGATATACCGCATTTAATTTTTCTACTGTTCTACTGGTCATTTTATGGACTCCTGTGTCACTTCAGAATCATTCGGTGATTGACACCAATATGTGGACAGTATCAGAGCTAGAAGCCTGGGCACATGCAGGTGACCATATACTCAGATATTCCTTAAACAAACAAACATACAAACAAAGAACATGGAAAGTGAGTCCAATGCTACTTGATGATGCAAAGGAGACTAATCTCAAGATTAATTGGAATTAGTGAAAAATTGGAATATAGCATACATTACACAAAAACTATTTGCAGAAATAGTAGAAAACTTACCAAGTATAGGCGAAGAGGTGGCTGAATCAAGAGTGTGTGATGGATCCATGGTGTGATGCTAGGGTCAAGGGCACTAGGATTAAGGGTGTGAGTGCTGCCTGCCATGAGAAGCCAGGATAAAAGATAAGTGATAGAAAAGTTGTGGTTGTCTCTTGCTTGTTCTGCTGCCTTCTGCCCACCATAAACTGTTTCTCGTCTGCAATGCCTGCCTGCCATGGCACTCTGCTTGGAGCCAACTGATTATGGACTGAAACCTTAACAAAATGTTATATGAATAAACTTTTCCCCTTTAAAAAATCTGATGGAGACGTAAGTTCTTTCCATGACAAAGAGCACCTTCAGAAATTCATGACCACCAGACCAGCACCAAAACCTTCTCAAGGATATCCTAGAAAGAGAAAATAAAGTCAAAAGTGCCCAAATCTAATGAGCTGAATACACCAAGAATAATGAGCTATTAAGCATAAGGGAGAGAAAAGGAATCAGCAAAAGGAAACTAGTGCACTGGCAGGAATAAGTCAGTACCTTTCACTCTTAACTATCAAAGTAAATGGCTTCAATTCTGCAATCAAAAGACACAGATTGGTGTATTGCACTCAAAACAAAGCCCAACAGTTTGCTGTATGCAAGAAACACATTTAATTAAAATTATTCATCAATAAAAAAAATCAAAGGATGGAAAATGTTATTCTATGAATGGGAGCCAAAAGAGAAGCAAGAAAAGGGAACCTGTCTACAGCCAAGGTGGACTTCAAGCCAAAACTGATCAGAAGAGACAGTGAAGAACACTTCACACTGTGGAAACAATTTAAAAGATAGAGATGACAATTGTAAAAATATATGCACTGAACACCAGCACTCCCAAATGTAGAAAACAAATCCTCTGAACAAAACAGATCAGATAACTATAATCACAGTGATTGTGGGTACCACAATATCACAAATACACAGGTCAACTAGACAAAAAATTTTAAAAACCACAGTGGGGACTGGATACCCTACTGCACGCATTTAATCCCACCACTTGGGAACCTGAGGCAGGAGGATAACCATGAATTCCAGGCCAGCCAAAGCTACACAATGAGCTCAAGGCCAGTCTAAGCTACACAGTAAGACCTTGTCTTAAAAAAAAAAACCTCTGGGCATGGCAGTGCATGTCTGTAATCTACACTTAGGATGCTGAGGCAGGATGATTGCTATGAGTTTAAGGCCAGCCTGGGCTTCATAGTTCAAGGCAAATCTGCACTACAAAACTTATTCTAGTTTGTCTCAACACCCACTCCCCACAAATTACAGTTGAATTACACCTTCATACAAATGGACTTAATAGAAATATATAGGGTGTTCTAGCTAACAAAAACAGAATATACTTTCTTCTCAACAACACATAAAATTTTCTAAAGAGTTGACAGCATATTAGCCCATGAGCCGTGCTTAAATACAAAAGAATCAATTATGCCATGCATATTATCAGATTGCAGGGCAATGAAACTACAAATGAATGGCAAGGAAACAACAGAAATTATACAAACATATGGAAATTAAATAATATTCTCTTGAATATTCAGTGCAACAGAAAAAATCAAGGAAGAAATTAGACAATTCCCAGAATCAAATGATAATGCCAGCACAACATATCAGAACTTATGGGGCACTATGAAGGAGTTCTATGGGATGTTTATAGTTATTAATATAGTTGTTATAGACCAGAAAAAACAGAGCCCAAATAACCTAATGGTGAACCTTGAGGTCCTAGAAAACTAAGAACAATCCTAATTTAATGTTAGTACCTAGAAGAAAATAATACAGTTTAGAGCAGAAATTAATGAATTGAAACTTTAAAAAGTACAAAAAATCAATGAATTAAAGAACTGACTCTTTGAAAGAATAAAAATGATAGACAAACATTTAGTCAATCTTAATGAAAGAAGATATCAATATCAGTTTAATAAAATTACAGTGGACACTGCCCAAATACAGATTATTAGTATTTACTTTGAAAATTTGTACTCTGATAAATTGAAGAATCCAGAAGAAATACATAGAATTCTAGATATACAAATTAATAAAAGTGAACCAAAAAAATCTAAAAACCCTGAAAAATTCAATGACAAGCAATGAAATTGAAGCAGTAATAAACTTACCAACTAAGAAAAGTCCAGGATCTGATGGATTTACTTCTCACAGTTCTGCAGGAACTTCAGGGAAGATATAACACCAATACTCCTCAAACCCTTTAATGAAACTGAAGGGTAAAGAGTACTCCGAACGTCATTCTTGGAAGCTCTCGTGACTCTGATTCCAAAACCAGAAATAGACCCAACTGAAAAAGAATACGAGAGGCCACTCTGTTTAACACAGACACAGAGATTTTCAACAAGATGTGAAAAGCAGAATGCAACGAATCAGTGGTGCATGTCTGTACCCCCAGAACTCAGGAGGCTGAAGCAGAAGGATTGTAGTGAGTTTAAAGCCAATCTGGCTCCTAGTGTGTTTGAGGGAAGCCTGGACTGTGTGGCAAGACCCCCCCCCCAAGAAATGCAATGAATCAGCGTAAAGATCGTATCAGTAGGCTTTGTCCTAGGGATGCAAGGTTGACTCAACATACACACATTAATAAATGTTAAGCTTCAGATACACAAACAGGAACAAAAATCACATGTACATCTTATTAGATACAGAAAAATCCTTCAATAAAATCTAATATCCTTTCACAATATAAATTCTCAAGGTATAGAACAACCTTATTCCAATCTGATTAAAGTCAATTATGACAAATCTACAGCTAACATTATATTGCATGGATAAAAACAAAAGTATTTTTGCTTCTACACTCACGAATAAGATGAGGATCCCACTGTCACACCATTCCAGTTCAATATAGTTCTCAAAACATTAGCCAGAACAATCAGAGATGAGAAAGAAATAAAAGGATAAAAATTAAATTGTCATTATTCACAGATGATATGATCCTTTACATAGAAGATCCAAAAAATTCCATCAAAAGACACCTAGAATACATTGAGAATGATAGCAGAATATAAAATAAACACATGAAAATTAATAGCTTTCCTGTACACCAATAATGAAGGTATTGGGAAATTAGGGGAAAATACCATTCATGAAGAAAAATTAAGTACTGAGGAATTAGTCTGAGGTGGATCCCTGGGACCTACGAAGGATCTGAAGGGAGAATTGGGGCCCACAGGAGAAGAGACCGACTTCAACACAGAAAAAAGACAGCAATCTGCACTTTGCCCCTGACTCCCAGCTCTGGGTATGAGTGAGGAGGCTCAGATCTAAAGACACAGTGATTGCAGGGCCCTCCCTGGAGAAACACACCAGTAGAGTGGAGAAGTGGATACTGTCAACTACAATAGCTGGTGAATGACTTCAGTCCTGTAGTCCGCGGGAAAGAGTGTTTGGCCAGATATTATTTTAGGGAGGGCAAAATGAACCTGGGACTCAGACCAGCCATGTATTCCTCTCAGGGCTCCCACTGACAGGAAAAGGCACAACTGCAATAGACATCCAGGGCCATGGAGCCAAGGCCAAGCATGTGAGAGACACCCAGAGTATTGTAGGCTGCACAGCTAGAGCCCCAACCCCACCATCACAGGCCAGGGTCAGCTTGAACTTCTCTGGAGTTGAAAGCACCAGATCAGGTAACCCACCCCCTTCCTACTGAAGGATTAATGGGGTCCTCTAAGATGGATGTGGGTTCTGTCTGCCTTCTTGGTCTATAGCGACAATGGAGAGGTGTCTTGAACTGGAAACTGCTACAGAGCTGTAGATGCCAGAAGAGAGCCATAGGCTCGAAATCACATTTTTCTTTTCTTTCTTTTTTTACAATTGGTTTTAGTTTTTTATTTTGGTGTTTTTAGATATTTTGCTTTGTGTAGTTCTTGTTCTTGTTTTTTTTTTTTTTTCTTTCTCGCCTGGTGTCTTCTCCACCAGTGTCTCAAAGTTTGAGTAATCTTCCTTTGTCCTTCAGCCTTGTTTTTAATCTTTCTCTCTCTCTCTTTTTTTGTTGTAGGTTTAAATAACACTCTATTGAGGGGATATTTACTGTACATAATCTTCTGATTTGTTTTAGATCTTGTTATAGAACCAAAAATCTTGTACCTGTGGTTAAAGGTGGCAGGTTAACATAACACAGTTTGCCATTTTGTAGAATGTGCTTCATACAATTGTTATCACTGACCATACTACTTTAGCCAAGGTGACATAGTTGTGATCAACTGTTCCTCCTTGAATGATAATATTGAGAATGTCTGAGAATCATAAACAATACCATAGTGCAGTACCAAAGACCTGGGTGCTAGACAACTAGGCAGCAATTTCTCATCCCTAAGAAATAAAAGAGGCAGGGTCTTGGGACAGACTCAAAAGCCAAAAGACAACTGTACCTAGATGACATCTCTGAAAAAGCAGTCATTTCCTAAGGAGGTCTCAGTACTATTAAAAAGCTACCTACATAAACAATTACAAATATCAATGAAGAAAACAAATGTTTAAAAAATGCAACGTGACAAGACATGAAAGTAAGGCCCAATACCAGGCCTCTAGCTCATGCAAGGCAAATCCAGGGAGCACTGAGGTGGAAGAAATCAGAAGGCATCCAGCTGAAGTTTCTAATATGGTTGCAGTGTAAGCAACAAAGCAGTTGGATGAGGCTCTGGAAAAAACAAATCTGGGGTGCTGCTCAGTGGTGATGTCACTGCCTAACATATACAGAGTTCTGGATTAAATCTCTGCCAAAGAGTAATGCTAAAAAAGTCTAAAATATTTACTATGTAGCCATTGTATGGAGGAAAAGAATGCATTAGTACCCTGAGTTGATCATTTGGCATTGTATACACATATCAGATTAACATATTGTGTCCCAGCAGGGCGTGGTGGCACACGCTTGTGATCCCAGCCCTCAGAAAGCTGAGGAAAAGAGGATAATTGTGAGTTCAAAACCAGTCCGGACTACAAAGTGAGCTGACGGCCACCCTGAACTGCATAGTAAGACCGTCTCATGAAAGAAAAAAAACCGTGTTGTGTCCCATAACGTGTACAAGTACCATATGCCATGTAAAAATTTAGGACTTTAAAAAATAAAGGTTGTGTACATATACATATATGTACATTAAAAAGATAGTTACACAACTAGTTGTTTCTCTGAGTTCACTGAAGAGAAAGATTTGTGCCAGTATTGTTTGGGCAATTGAATGCAGATGTCTTGTGCTCTGGGTGAATGATTTGGGGATGACAATGTGCAATGCATGTACCATTGTTGCCCCCTGACTATTATTAAAAAGCTACCTACATAAACAATTTACAAATTTGAAATTTTCTTTTATCTTGTTTTCTTTTTTATTCTCTTTGAAATATAATGAATTTAAATGAAATATAGGTGTCCCAGGAATTTGATGATCAGATAGGATGGGTTTGTCAAACATTGACAGTTGCTACATGGGAAAATTTTGATTGGTTCCTTTTTGACTCTAGGAGAACCAGTTTAATGGGGTCATTTGAAAATGGAAAAATTAAAGGAAAGCCTTACTTGGAATAGGGATGTTGCAGGCAGCTGATTTACTTAGTATTGTAAAATGTCTTCATGTTGGGCCTCCTCTTAGAAATAAATATAATACCCTTTTCACTATACATCTATGTTTATAGACAATTTCATTTACTTATTTACTTCTACTTTTTTGAGACAGGACCTCGCTGTGTAGTTCAGGCTGGCCTAGAACGCACAGTGGTCCTCCTCCCTCAGCCTCTCAAGTGCTGGGCATTGCAGGCATGACCTTATACACACAATTTAAAGACCAATATAATGCCCAAAGTAAAATATCTCAGAGTAATAATAAAATGTTTGATGGAAAATAATACCGTGTCACCACATGTTGGATATGATGGTGATACAGGGGAAAGAAACTCCCAAAGTACTAGATGTCCTGTCTGGGTTTGTATTCTCTAAAACTGAAGAATGACTTTTAGGAACAATGGAGGTAAAGAGCAGAATATATTGAGAGAAAGAGGCTTCTATGTGAGAGAGAGACAGCAGAGGTCCAAGTGGGTTGCCAAAGACTCCTCTATGTTTTCTAGGGATTTTATAGACAGTGAAACTGCAAGGTGAGGCAGGTGCAAGGTGGGAGAAAAATGGAAACTTGCAAAGAGGGCAGGAGGTGGGACAGAACCAATATGATTAATTTCTCAGGTAAAACTGATTAAATTGGAAACAAATGAGGAAGTGAGTCATGCAAACAGGCATGCATATAGAGTAGTGACTCTCTCTGTATTGTGCTAGGATGGTGACTACTGGCCTCTTTAGGGTGATAGAGACCTATCGGGAATATCAGTCCTTAGGATGTAGGCATATTTGTTTAGTCTTTTGACCTGTGCAGTGGCTGGAGTCTATCTTCTTCAGGGTCACAAAATATCTGGTTTTCTGCACTGGCTCCTTCAAGGGCCTAGCCATCTCTGACTGCCTATAATATTCCTATCTAACTCAGCTACCTATAACAGTGGGAGTGGAAGGCATAATGATAGTGAGTGGGGAGATAACCAGGCCTCTCTGTAGAATAGCAAGGAAGTGATAGATACAGAGCACACCAAACAATTGTGGGGCTTTACTGATGCAAGTGCAATAACTGGAGTTTCCTTCAGAGAAGTGATTTCTTTTCTTCTGTTTTGTTAGACGGTATCTTGTTATAAAAGTTCAGGTTGGCCTGGAACTCACAACCTTTTTGCCTCAGACTCTCAAGTGTTGCAATTACATGTGTGCAACACCATGCCCTGCTTCAAATAAATGTTTTTCTAAAACAGTTTCTAAAAATAAAATCCTGAGCTAAGCAAATATAATCTTCAGATTTTCACAATGATTACAGAGTTAGATAAAAATATTATAGGCAGTCAGACAGGGCTAGGCCCTTGAAGGAGTCAGTGAAGAAGATGAGATGCCTTTCAACTGTGGAGGAGACAGACACCTCTGCTGTGGGTCAGACTTCAAGACAAAAGATAAATCACATGCACCCATATACTTCCTAAAGATAAGCAGCAGGAATTGATATTTTTTTAATTAAAAAAATTTTTTAATTTTAAAGATAGTGAAATACAACAAAACAGGACAGAACAAAGACAACACAATGAAATCAGTACAGAACTTCAGAGCAGGACACGGGGATAACAATAATAGGTACAGTATACCTCATTATCTTCACAATAGTTGTCCATTCAGTCAGGGTGGAGCAAAATCAAGCCAAAAACAGAACACTAGAAAACAAATCAAAACAGAATATTGAATAGAGCAAAATAATTAATCAGAACAAAACAAAACAGTAAAAAAAAAAATATTGGCCTTCAAAGACAAGACAGAAAGAAATCGCTCATGTTTGCTATATTGCATAGGGTTATCCTCCTAAGACATGCTCAGATCTCTGGCCCCAGGTCAGCATAAGCAACCTAACAATATAAGCATTTAGTTGCTTTATGTACCTTAGTTGCTATCAACTCTGGCTGACCTCAAAACCACCCAGTTGCTGATGGGAGGTGCACAGGACATTTGATTCTCAGCCCATGTGCTGATAGGCTCTTGGGAGACACTGACTTACTGTCTCCCTGGCACGCTCACAGCTCGCACTGCTTACCAGGAACGATGGCTCGTTGCTTTGTGGGTTGGTCCCCCATGTTCCGTCATGGCTGATTCTCTCCAGAGATGCTGACTTGTTCTCTCCCTGGCACACCAGTCAGGAATTGATATTTTAAATAGATCTCTATTGCCCTAAGCAAGTCAGTAGTCACCATCTCAACCACCCACAAGAAGTCACTGATTTTGCTGTCTATAAAACCGGTGGCCCATATTTAATTTTCTTTTTTTCAGTTTTTTAAAATTTGCTTTATATTTTATTTTATTTTATCTTTATATTTTATTTTGAAAGTAGTAAAAATACAACAGAACAGGACAGAAGAAGCCAATTGGGACAATGCAGTGAAACTGGTACAGAACTTCCCAGCAGGATACTGGGACAGTAGTATTAGGTACTATGGTATATCTCGTTATCTTCACATTAGTTGTCCAGTCGGTTAGGTGTAGAAAAATCAAACCAAAACCAAAATATTATAAAACCAATTAAGAGTATTGAATAAAGCAAAAGAAACGTAAAACAAAACAGTGAAAACAAACTTTGCCTTCAAACAGAAGATAGAAGGAAATCTCCCATATTTGCAATATTGTGTATGGTCATCCTCCCAAGGGATGCATAGATATATATCCCCTGTAGCTATGGAATGGGGGTGGGGGGTTGAGGAATGAGGGGTGGTTGATTCTCAGCCCACATGCCGGTAGGCTCACAGGAGCTGTTGGTTCTCCTCCTGGCCCATGCCAGGGGCACTTAGCAAGAGGGCGAAAGAATAAGCTGCTTAAGTCCCACCACGGCCTGATCTCAGGAACACTGGTTCTCCTCCTGGCCCATGCAGGGTGGGGTGGGCACTTACCAAGAGCGCCTATTTAATTTTCAAACAAGGAAGGAATTAGAGTCGAAAATGTAGGAAACTGAGCAGGACCTTGGGAGTGGTTCAAGGATTTTTCCCAAGTAATAGATTACATTAATTTGGGAGAATTGTCTCATGTTAATTTAGGAGAAGTATCTTAGGAGAAAGTCTCCAGGTTGCATTTCACTCCTGTAGTGAAATGCCTGCAGCTACAGTTTTTATTTAGTTATTTAGTTAATTTAGTTAATTTAGTTTTTATTTAGTTAGAGCCAGGTGTCCTCAGCTGTGGCCTTATCTTGTTCTTTGAGGCATCTCTTTGTTCTTAGCTGGCTATGTCCCAGCCATGCCACAGCTCTGCACATGTGTTCAATTTCCAGCTTCATTGGCTCCCAATACACCATCAGGTTTGGCTTTGATAATTTTGTATCTAGTGTAATCACGCAACCAGGTGTAGTAAAGCACTTTTGTAATGCTAACATTCTGGGAAGCTGAGACTGGAGGTCACAGATTTTGAATCCAATCTGGACAATTTAGTAGTTTAGCAAAATTATGTATCAAATTTAAGGAAAAAAACCTAACTTCTAAAGTATGGGGTGTTGGACTTTGTTAACAGTGCATGAGAAGACACCCAGAAACACAGGCTTATGTGAGAAAAAAGCTAGATGAAACTCTGTCTAGGCATAGGCAGGCAGAGGTCCTGACTAGTATCAGCAGGTGATCCAAGGAGAAGTTAAGTTTATATAGGGTTTAGGGATTGGGGATAGAGTTATAATCCCAAGGAATCTGGATGGAATATTTTAGGTCAAAGTTCCCAGGCCAGTGCTGGGATGCAGATAACATAGGACTTTCTGGTGTCCAGGAGATTGGGGGTCCTGGCCTAAGTTTTCTTCATGGCCTCTGGTCTGATTGCTGAGGGTGGTGTGTGGCCCTTATTGGCTTCTTGTTGTTTGTAGAGTGAAGTGTTTTCCTTGAGAAAGTCTCTGTCAGGTCACGTCTGAGAAGAATGTAGCTTAGTGTGAACGTCCTGGGATCAATCCCTAGTAGCAAAAGAAAAAATCATGTACAGATAACTATGGTGATATGTGAAATGGGCTGTGAGCATAGCTCAGTGGAAGAGCAATTGTCTAGCAGGCACTGGGCCCTGGGTTTGAAAACCAGCAAAACACATACACACCCAGACACACCCAGACACACACACACACACACACACACACACACACACACACACACTTGAATGTCACGTTATTTCTTTTATATGAGGAGCCCAAATTATACATAAAGAGCAAAACAAAAGATAGATAGTACATAGGAATCCAAATTATTCTGAGATGATGGGAAGGGATCAAGAGATGGAAGGAAGTGGGCGGAAGGAAGGGAAGGGGTAAAAAAGTGTTGTTCCCCAAAAACAAGACCCCAAAATATTGTCCAAAAAATGGGGCAAGACGTCTTTTTAAAGAAAAGGAGCACTTTTATTTATCCTGGCACCAGTGACACAGTGCAGTTGGAGTTCACAAAACTGTGTAATTGGCTTAAAATTTTGACAGACTTTTACAGAAAGAACAATGAAGAAAATCTTTGTTTCCCTTTGCTTGAGGGTAGAGAAGTTTCACAGGAGTTTGCAGTGCTTTGTCATCTAATTTCAGCGTTTAATTTTTAGATAACATCTGTCCCTTGCAGAGGGGAACAATGGTTAACATATCAATCAGGTCACCCAGGAAGATGGCATATACAGAACAATATGATGGCACTATAGTTATTTTACAACAACGTGGTCGGTGCCCCTGGGTGCTGGTTGTAGAAAATAGTTGCGTTTGCAAAGGGAATTAACAGGTAATTTGGTCATATAACTTGGGCATTGGCAAACATAGCACAGGATGACAAAGCTCTTTTTTGCTAGTGTACAGCAAAAAGGAATGAAGATGTATGTTGACCACTCCACACAAGGAACACAAACATTATGTATGGCAAACATGCACTAATAGCAAAAAAGTAAAACAAAGTTATAGTTAAACTAAAACCAGTGAACACATTTTCAGTTTCCACAAAGGTGCATGGGAGGGGGAACAGTGTCTGAGATGTTGCTGTGACACAAGGTCAGCCAGTCTTGTGACCCAGTCACTCTCCTGTGAAGAGCCAGACTCTGAAACCTCACCCCTCAGATACCCCCCCCC